ATGTTTATTTATTTTAAGAGACAGAGACAGAGCATGAGAGGGGGAAGGGCAGAGAGAGGGAGGCACAGAATTCTAATCAGGCTCCAGGCTCTGAGCTTTCAGCACAGAGCCCGAGCCCCACTATCTACGAGATTATGACCTGAGCCGAAGTTGGATGTTTAACCGACTGAGCCACCTAGGTGCCCCTCTTTTTTTTTTTTTTTAATGTTTATTTATTTTTGAGAGAGAGAGAGACAGAGCATGAGCAAGGGAGGGGCAGAGAGAAAGGGAGGGGCAGAGAGAGAGGGAGACACAGAATCTGAAGCTGGCTCCAGGCTCCAAGCTGTCAGCACAGAGCCTGATGCGGGGGTCAAACTCACGAACCGTGAGATCATGACCTGAGCTGAAGTCGGAAGCTTAACAGACTAAGCCACCCAGGCACCCCAGTGTTTATTTATTTTTGAGAGAGAGAGCACACAAGAAGGGGAGGGTCAGAGAGAAAGGGGGACAGAGGATCCAGAGCAGTCCCTGTACTGACAGCATAGAGCCAGACATAGACATGGGGCTCAAACTCACAAACCGTGAGATCATGACCTGAGCCAAAGTTAAATGCTTAACCAACTGAGTCACCCAGTCACCCCCTTACAAAATGTCTTTGAGAAGAGGATTCTTTATTTTTCTTAGTAACCTCTATACCCAACGTGGAGCTAAAACTCACAACCTGAGATCAAGAGATCATGCTCTTCCAACTGAGCCAGTTTAAAATTATCCTGTTTAAACACAAGCTTGGAATAAAACTTTGACATGTGCTTGTAATGAATTTGTCTAAGAGTTTGTCTTAAGAGCATCCTTTTATCTTGTTTCTATCTTGTTTTTAATGTTTATTATTTATTTTTGAGAGACTGCAAACAGGGGAGGGGCAGAGAGAGGAGACACAGAATCTGAAGCAGGCTCCAGGCTCTGAGCTGTCAGCACAGAGCCCAATGCGGGGCTCAAACTCACAAACCCTGAGATCATGACCTGAGCCAAAGTTGGATGCTTAACCAACTGAGCCACCCGGGTACCCCCAGAGCATCTTTTTGTTTGTTTGTTTGTTTTTTAATAAAGCCATGTGCATGGATTCAATGTTAGAGTTCAGTGCAGTATACCCCAAGCTATGCCACAGTGGAATATTGATTGCTTTAAATTGAAGTTACTCAAAAAGCAGCAATGCAAGAAGGGCCTCTTGACCCTTTATCTCCCTGAACGCAGGATATAAATCTCCCATGTGAAAGGTGTCCCCCACTTCACGTGGAGACTGAGAGAAGCATCCTTATCACCAGAGGTGGGAATTCAGGGCTGAGGAAGCCTATATAAACAAATCTTGTCGTTTTTACTAATTTACTGCCCCAGCCCAAATTCTGGTTAGAATTCCTTACTAATTGAAACTCCCAAACATGTTTTCTTTGTCCTGTCAGTTCCTCACAGATTTATGTTTCTTTGTCTAAAACGTAGAAGCACTGCATACACTTGTCATTCTTTTGGTCTCAATATTATTATTGAACTTCTGTGCCCATGTAATTAAATTTTGTTTTTTCTTGCGTTAATCTATGTCAATTATTAATCCAACCAGAAGAACTTCTGAGAATAAAGGAAGTAATTTCCTTCTCTCCAACAATGGAGATAAATTATGATAAATTTCTGAAGTTATGTCAAATAGTTGCATCTTACAGAAATTTCATGGTTTCCAGCCCTACATAGGAAACTATGCATTTCTAAAAATAACTGGCAAGAGGACTTTCACAAAAATATAACTGGAAGACATGGTGTGACTGATACGGTGCAAAAAAATCATTCCTCCAACATGGTCTTTTTCATTTCCTCCTATATTTTCCAAATTCACAATAAATGACTATTACCTTTTTATAGTCAGAGTAAGTGTTGGGTAAAAAAGCATATGTGCTAACAAAGAGGCTCATTAAAGAAATAATAATTACGGTTTTATTTTTAATTAATTTTTAAGTTTATATCTAAGTTAGTTAGCATATAGTGCAACGATGATTTCAGGAGTAGATTCCTTAAGGGCCCTTACCCATTTAGCCCATCCCCCCTCCCACAACCCCTCCAGTAACCTTCTGTTTGTTCTCTATATTTAAGAGTCTCTTATGTTTTTGTCCCCCTCCCTGTTTTTATATTCTATCTGCTTCCCTTCCCTTATGTTCATCTGTTTTGTATCTTAAAGTCATCATATGAGTGAAGTCATATGATATTGTCTTTTTCTAATTTCGCTTAGCATGATACCCTCTAGTTCCATCCATGTAGTTGCAAATGTAATTAAGATTTTGTTTTATTTTTCAATCTTTTTTTTTTAAAGGGCACAGTTTTAAAATATATCACATATGGGGCGCCTGGGTGGCTTAGTCGGTTAAGCGTCCGACTTTCGCTTAGGTCATGATCTCGCGGTTCGTGGGTTCGAGCCCCGCGTCGGGCTCTGTGCTGACTGCCAGCTCAGAGCCTGGAGCCTGTTTCAGTCTGTGACTCCCCCTCTCTGACCCTCCCCTGCTCATGCTGTCTCTCTCTCTCTCTCTCTTTCCTAGAAATAAAAATATTAAAAAATAAAATAAAATATATCACATCTACAGGGGTAGAAAATATTAAGGCTAACTCCTGGATCAGTATTTCAGAGTCAATAGAAGAGGAAAACAAGGGGAAACTAATGCTAGTTATGCCAAAGAAGAAAATCTGTAAGCAACATACTAGGGTAGGAAATGGGAGTCATGGTGGTGAGCTGTGGAAGAATCACATGATTAACTGCTGGGGAAAAAAGGCAATTAGTAGGTCAGTGTTGTCTTTAGGAGGGTAGCTTCAAAAGAGATAGGACAGAAACTTGAGGGCATGGGATTGAAGAATGTACCTTATTTATTGCCTCTTCTCTGTAAATTCACCCTTTGCCTGCTCTGTAAAAATGCACCTGAAGCTTTGCCAGTACAGGGTGCAGGAGACACAGTGCAAGAAAAGGGGTAGTTTGTTCCCCTTGCAACACCTGCTGTTTCCCTGGTTTGCAGAGCCCAGGGCTTCTCCAGCACACTGCTGCTCCTCAGCCTTACAGAGTGCCTTTGGTGTCTGGTGGGACATCTCCCTATGAAGTTTTCCCCAGCACTCTAAAGCAGGGGTTCAGCAAACTTTGTCTGTAAAGGGCCAGAATGAATATTTTAGGCTTTGCCAGCCAGTGGGTCAGACAGTATTCAGCTCTTCTGCTAGAGTGCCAAACAGCCCCACACAGTAAGCGAACATAGCTGTGCTCTAAGAGAACTTTATTTATAGACACGGACATTTTTACTTCATGTAACTTTCACATACCAGGAAATATTCAATCATTTAAAAATGCAGAAGCCGGGAGCGCCTGGGTGGCTTAGTCGGTTAAGCGTCCGACTTTCACTTAGGTCATGATCTCGCGGTTCGTGGGTTCGAGCCCCGCGTCGGGCTCTGTGCTGACTGCCAGCTCAGAGCCTGGAGCCTGTTTCAGAGTCTGTGTCTCCCTCTCTCTCTGACCCTCCCCTGCTCACACTGTCTCTCTCTCTCTCTCCCCTAGAAATAAATAAAATATTTTTTTTAAAAAAATGCAGAAGCCATTCTTACCTCCCAGGCTATATAAAAACCAGTGGTAGGCCAGGCTGCAGGCTGTAGTTTGAGGACTCCTGTTCTAGAGGGCAGATTTTCAGGAAGTCCTTCCAGGGCAGCATCATAGCAACTTCGCTGCTCTTCAGTGAGCTGCACCGGCCTCTCCCACAGGGTCCGATCTCAGCCCCGGGAGTGGGGCTCAGGTGAATGTAGAGTCTCTTATTTGGGTGCTCTGTCTCAGCTCTGGGGGTAATGGCTGATCCATATTATCTATTCCTTGTCTTTAACATTCTCCTTATTTTCCACTCGCTGTATAATTTCTACTGTTGCATAACTAATTACCACAAATTTAGCATCTTAAAACAATAAACACTTATTATCAGTTTCCACGGGTCAGGAGTTTAAACATCACATAAGTGGGTCCTTTTCTCAGAGTCTCAAGACTGCAGTAATGTCGGCCAGGGCTGTGATCTCATCTGGAGCTGGGGTCCTCTTCCAAGCTCAGCGGTTGTTGGCCGAATTCAGATCTTGTGGTTGTGGGACTGAGGGCCTCCTCTCAGCCTGCTGTTTCCTGACAGGTGACCCTCTCCACAACTGGCAGTTTGCTTTAAGGCTAAAGCCCATTAGGGAGAACACATCTATAGTTTGTTTCTACTTCGTCTCCTACCTTCAAGCACTCTTTTGTAATCTCCCTTTTAATTCAGTAAAGCTTCAGGGATCTTAATCACATCTACATCTAAAATCCTCTCCCTTTTGAGGCGCCCAGGTGGCTCAGTTGGTTAAAATCCCCTTGCCTTTGCCATAAAATGTAACTTAATCTTGGAAGTGACTGCTCATAGTACTCACAGACCCTACCCACACTGTAGTGATTATATAGGGCATGTACATCAGGGATAAGTAATCTTGGCGGCCAGCTTAGACCTGTGACTACTACAGAAGGGATAAAAATCGTTGGTAAATGTTTGATCTAGTTTTTATATTTTCTTTAATGCTGTTCTCTTCATAGTGTTTTTTAGAAATTTCCTACAAAATGCAAACTATTTCAGGATACTCTAACTTACACAAGATATGTCTTACTGTAATTATCCATCACGTAAGATGTTGAATGTCTGGTGCTTTAACTCAACGAACCATACCATTCATGGTTCACAACGTTATCCACCAATTCTGCCCTAAGGTGTATTTGTCAAAATGCCAAATTGTTTAAAACAGAAACCCAGATTCATTCAGAATAAAATTGTTTGATTTTTCTGTGTAGAAGTTACATATTACAGATTATACATTTTATATTGGATACACGTAATTATAAATTCTCATACAAAACTCTGATTTGCAGTTAGCATCCTGAGCATTTCTTAACCAGTTATCTTATTTGTATACTACGAAATTTGATTCCGTGTGATTCAAACAAAGTTAGGAAATTTAGTTTTAAAGTGTTTTATTTCAGTTTGTAAAAAAAAAGTTTGTATGTACAAGACTCAGAGTAAATAGAAAGGCAGCATTCAATCACAAATGGCTGAGACAGTAGTCATTAAGCCTCTACTGTGGAAGCATATTTAAGGTACACAACCTCAATGTCAGGCAGAAACAATTTTAACTCTGCAGTCCAAGTTCTGAGTTTTATATCAGATCTGCATACATAAGACACTTGTGGTCAAATTTTAAGATTGGTAAAGTCAATTGAAGCTGCTTACATACTGAGTACAGGTTTCACTATTACAAATAGAAGATGTTAACTAACAAAACAATAGTCCTCAAAGATCGCTTTGTCTCATGTTCGTACATTTGTAATCTGTTTGCTAACTTCCCTTCTTGTAGTTATTCTTCAAATTATAGTCATTATGCATTGAGTTCCCTCTGCATCTCACCCATTTCCTTTATCTGCAATAAAGGGAAAAAGAAGAGAGAGAAGAAAATTTAAATAATTTTCCAGTTTTTTGTTAATCCTGAAAATAGTTAAAAAGAAAAAAAAAAGAGGAAAGTTAAGATTCTTCCCACATTTATGAGCCCCATTTGGAAAAAGAAAAAATGTACAAAGAAGCACAAACTGAATGCATGACCAAACTGCTATTTGGAGGTAAGATGGCCAAAGTGACAAGGAAGTAACAGGTGAGCTAGATCTTTAAGAATGGATAAAGTCTGTTAAATGGATGCCATTTTACATCCAGTAAGAACCAATATATTTACTATTTTTCAGATAAGGAAATTAAAGTTCAGAATTAAGTGATTTGTCGCAGATCATACAATTAGTTACAGGCAGAACTGAGACAAGATGATGGAATACTACTACCACTGGCAAACATTGTGCTGTGTGCCAAGCAGTGGACCAGCACTGTATACAGACTATTGTGTTTAATCGTACAATGGGTCTGTACTAATAACCCCATTTTACAGATGAGGAAACATGGAGACTTAAAGAAGTTAAATAACTTGCCCAGCTAACAAGTAGTCAGACCCACATCTATATTGCTCTTGACCACAATCCTACATTGTCATTCCAACCTTCTGTTATGCTTCAGTTCAGGGGGAGACTGTCCCCTAGACCTGTGGTCACCAAAGTAGGTAAGCCAGATAGTCAACTATGGTTTATGAAAAAAAAAGTTACAACTTTCTAGTTCTATTCAATATTTTTTCAATATTGTTTAAATTTCTGTGTTTCTTGGTAAAAGATTAGTAAAAAGCACATACACAATTACAAATAAATGCATAAATATATAAAATTGGTGGGTGTGCTGAAAATGTTCAGGAACAAGTGTGGTTCACATTCAACTCCAAGCGACTGACACGCTAACAATCTCACGCTTTGTCTTCGCACTAACGTCGGTGACTAGTTAGATGGAAGAGACTCACTAGGACATATATTAAGCTCTTTTTTTAATGACTATTTCACTGGAATAAAAACAGTAAGTCAGGTCATCAGCCACACTAAGTTTCTGTAATGTGAATCCACAGAGTACGTCTCTGAAAGATTCCATTAAAAGTTGACACTTGTCAAATAAAAATTGCAGGTCTCCTATCTCACTATGCTTTGAGGCAGAATTCAATATTAGCTGCTCTGCCATGGAACTCATGCAAGAGAATTTAAGGAAACATTGAAAGGCTGTCCCTAAGACCTTACGGCATATACTATAAAGGGGCTCCAGTATAATTGAGTCCTATCGGTATCTAGGTAGGTACAGTGATTATCAGGAGTAAGAGATTTACAAAGGGGCCTTTTTATTAAGTAATCTGTTTACCTCAGCCTTCTCATACTTTGCCATTCTGTTCTTTCTGGAGATAACCTGAATGGAAGAAAAATTGACACATAAATGTTTTTAACGGACATAATTCCTACCTGAACAAATGTAATTTTAAAATTTACCTGCAGATACTATTTCTTAAATTAAAATTTCCCTACTAATAAGAAAAAGGGCCTATACTTACTATGATGAGCACTAATACATGAAATTAAAAAGTTTTTTTTTTTTAATATTTATTTTTGAGAGAGAAACAGTATGTTATGCACGCATGAGCAGGGAAGGGGCAAAGAGAAAGTGGGATATAAAGAATCCCAAGTAGGCTCCATGCTGTCAGTGCTATGCGGGGCTTGAACTCACAAACTGTGAGATCATGACCTGAGCCGAAGTCAGACACTTAACCGATTGAGCCACCCAGGTGCCCCTAATATACAGAATTGTTAAATTGTACACCTGAAACTAATATAACACTATCTATTATAGTTCAGTTAAAAACAACTTTGAGCCCTCCTGCCCACCAAAATCTTTTGGAACAATAACAACAAAAAGCCTATAACATCCAGTTAAACAAACCTAAAAAAAAAATGCATTGAGAAAACAATGAATAATCTTTAATAATAAAATCTAACAGCCTGCTACCCATTCTTCCACATTTTGCTCCATCTTAGTACAAATATACACAAAAACATACATATGAGTTTTGGAAAAGGGGGGCAGTCTAAAAAAAATGGGATCATACAATATTGTTTACCTCTATGCACAGCCTACTTTAACATCATAGGAACCTTTCGGGGAACAAACGCTATAAATAGCACTCATTCTTCTTAATAGTTTTATACCATAACATGAATTTTCCACAATCTCATCTGTTTTCCTACAGACGTGCACTCAAGTTGTTTCCAGATTCACCCTTACAAGCAACACTGCAATATATAACCTATACTGTCCTTCCTGTGTACCTGTGCTTTCATTTCTATAGGACAAGTTGATTTCTAGGATTCTCTCAGGTGTTTATTTCCCATCTGGATTTCTTCTGTAAGTCATCTATCCATGCCTTTTGCTATTCTTGACTTAACTTTCTCCTCGGTTTGTAAGAATTCATATATTATGCATAACAACCTTTTTTGTTTTATGTATCATGGATATTTTCCCCCAGCCTATCATTGATATTTTTCACTTTATAGTATTTTTGCCATAAAAAATGTTTACTTTCAACTTAGTCAAATATGTAACTTTTCATTCATGAATTCTAGATTTCTTGCCTTACTTGGTTTTCTTTACCACAAGGCTGTACAAACATTTCCTCAATTAATTTTGAGGCTCGTTCTATTTTTTTTAAACATTTTTAGCTAAAATCTAGCTGGAATTTGTGTTTGAACATGGGCGTACTACTCCATAATGTACCATTCCAAGAGCTGGGCAACATGGCCTGCCCTGGTGGGGGGAGGGGTGTGGTGAAATAGAATTTCAACTTTTATTTTCATCTAGATATGGATAGCCAAGTATGATAATTACACTGAACTGAAAATCTAAGTTCTCACACACCCTCAAATCTATTTCTGAATTATGGTATGTTGTTAACAGTTGTTAAGACTTCTTAATGCTAAGCATCCTTGTATTTCTAGAATAAATCCTGTCCAGGTGGTACCTTCTTCTGCTGAAGCACTGCTAAATTAAATGTGCTAATCTTTTGTTTAGAATTGCTCCTCACATTTACCACTTTTAATCCTTTCCATGGTAACGTTAATAATTGGTGTTCTGCTGTTTCATTTCACTGAACAGTTTGTGAGTTCTGGTATTTTGCACCAATGCTGGCAGGGCTGTTGGACTGTTTGCAGCGAGAGAACTGAAGGACGTTTGCTGCTTGGTGGAAACGTAACTGACCTGTGAGGTGCTCAGCTATGAGCTTTTTTCAAGTTAGTATTCTCTCTTGCTTCATAAAGTGACTGCTTTATAAAAAAGGACCAGATGCAAGAGATTCATTCACCATAGAGTATTATAAAAACTGAAGATTTTGCTTCATTAAAAGTTCTGGAACATGGGAGTAGCTCTTTCATACTGTCAACTTTTCTTGAAAGAATACGCCTTTAAATGAAAATGGACTTGTTCTGGGGCGCCTGGGGGGCTCAGTTGGTTGAGTGTTGGTTGAGTGACTCTTGATTTCAGCTCAGGTCATGATCCAGGGTCATGGGATCAAGCCCTGCACTGGGCTCTGCACTCATGTGCAGAACCTGCTCAGGATTCTCTTTCTCTTTCTGCCCCTCTCTCCCTCGTCTCCACTCCCACATGCTCTGTCTCTCCCTAAAAGAAAAAAAAAAAGAAAGAAAAAGAAAGTGGACTTGTTCTATACTTACCAGCACAACGATTCCAGCAATAACTGCTAGTGTCACAACCACAATGACAGCAATAATACCAGTTTGCAGACCCTGCATCGAAAATTCAGGTGGTTTTTCATCAACATAGTAAATTGCAGTTCGACTGGGATCCAGATCCAATTGCTCCCCGTTTATTCTCAGATCCATTTTCTTGGAATGGAACAAGGATTCGTCTTTAACCTATATCAAGAAGGAGAAAAGCAATTGAAAATATTTAAGAAAACCTACCATGGCCATATACTATTAGATCCCAATTATACGTGGAAAGAACTGCTGCCAAGGGTTTTTGTAGTTTCAGTGGTAACAATCCCATATGCTGAAACTTCAAAAAAACTTATTGTGGCAAATTCTCACACACACATGAAAGCAGAAAGACGAACATAATGAAGTCCCATGTACCTATGACCCAGATTCAACAATATAAAGCAAATAGCCAACATTACTTAATCTATTCTTCCTTCTATCCTTCATCCCTTCCCTCTCCCCTGGGCCAGATTATTTTGAAGCGAACCCCAGGTTTCATCAGAAAATGGCTCAGTATAGGGATGCCTGGGTGACTCAGTTGGTTAAGCTTCTGACTTTGGCTCAGGTCATGATCTTGTGGTTCGTGAGTTCGAGCCCTGCATCAGGCTCCGTGCTGACAGCTCAGAGCCTAGAGTCTGCTTGAAATTCCGTGTCTCTTTTCTCTGCCTTTTCCCTGCTCACTCTCTCTTTCTCAAAAAGAAATAAACATTAAAAAACTTTTTTAAAGAAAAAAATAGAATGGCTCACTTGATGTTAAAGGTTCTTTATTTTTTTGATGATATATTAAAGTTGAAACAAACTATTTTAATCATACTAGTTATACAACACTTCTTATATACCCTCTTGTTCATGGACATTTTAATGGGGAAGAGGCTATCAACATAAACTAAGTAACTACCAAAGATGCAATAGGGTAATAATTATGAGAGAAGATATTCTAAGTAAAAGAATTTGATAAGAAGGCATAAATATAAATAGATCAGAAAGGTGTATGGTGGGGATGAGGATATTGTTCATTGCAGCACAAGAATCATGTGGAGAACAGAGGTGTGGTTGGTATGCAAGTGGGGAAAAAGGTAACAAAAGATGGGGTGCCTGGGTGGCTCAATTGATTAAGAGTCTGACTCTTGATTTCAGCTCAGGTCATGAGCTCACGGTTTATGAGACTAAGCCCCGTGACAGGCTCTGTGCCTAGCGTGGAGCCTTCTTAATTCTCTCTCCCTCTCTCTCTGCCCCTCCCCAGCTCACATGCTCTCTCTCAAAAGAAATAGATAATCTTAAAGAAAAAAAAAAAAGATGATGAAAGATCTTGAATTCATTGAGGCATGACAGACAATATTAGACTTCTAAACACAGGAATAAAATGAGGAAGATTATACTCACATCTTTTTCAAAATAATAAGCCACATCAGCTATGTCTACTTCATTCTGAGTTTTCTGAGATGAATTTTGCACCAGATCAATAGTGATAAGATCATTCTCATACTGGGGGAAATATGAAAAATATAAATTAATACCAACACAACCAAAATCATGTGAAAATATTATTGTTCAATAATCAGAATATTCAGTTTTTTATTTTTCTGTAATATACATGTGTCAGCATTCCTTTCCACTAGTGGGTAACCGAGTTTATAACTAATAATATAAACCCCTTTGGGACATTTTAAAATCTATCCAAGGGAAATAAGAAAGCAATGCAACTTAAAATAATTATGATGCATATATTCTTTCCAAGAGAGAATTTTTTTCTACCCAAAAGATTTCAAAATAAGATCTTAAAGTATCTTAGTTGGGTGGTGCCTGGCTGGCTCAGTCAGTAGAGCATGTGACTCTTGATCTGGGGGTCATGAGTTCAAGCCTCACACTGAGCACAGAGCTTACTTTACAATAAAAACTAAAGAAAACAAAAAACACAAAGAGGACCCTGGGGGGCTCAGTCGGTCAAACGTCTGACTCGATTTCCACTCAGGTCATGGTCTCACAATTTGTGGGTTCAAGCCCTGCATTGGGCTCTACACTGACAGTGTGGAGCCTGCTTGGGATTCTCTGTCTCTGTCTCTCTCCGTCCCTCCCTACTTGTGCTGTCTCTCTCACTCTTTCTCTTTCAGGATAAATGAATAAATTTTCAATAAAAACAAAACAAACAAACAAAAAAAGCATCTCATTTGGTTAGAACTACTTTTAAAATAAAATGCTAAGAAAATACAATCCAAAATTCAGTATGCATTTACCATATTCTGCTTTTAAAGAGCAAAAAAGTATATTCCTTCCTGTCCTTAAAAATGACATGGGGCGCCTGGGTGGCTCAGTTGGTTGAGCATCTGACTTCGGCTCGGGTCATGATCTCACAGCTCTTGGGTTCAAGCCCCACATTGGGCTCTGTGCTGACACACCAGAGCCTGAAGCCTGCTTCAGATTCTGTTTCCTTCTCTCTGCCCCTCCCCCTATCATGCTTGCGCTCTCTCTCTCTCTCAAAAATAAACAAAAACATTTTTAAAAAGTGACATAAATTTTCTGCCTTGAAAAAGTTCCATCACACTATTCAAGTATTTTTCAAGCAGAGTTGAAAGAGTCAAGGAAAGGGTAATTGATTGAGAACTAGCTTCTTAAACCAGAGAAGATGGAAGCTAGGTGGCATCCTAAAGTAAAAGTGTGTACAAAAAACAATCATAGACACAGGTATCCCAGGCTAAGATGACTGGCATGCATGACAGATACCAGAGATACTACGTTTTCCTTAGGGTAAACCTGAGGTTTTCAAAGGCTATAGAAGGAAAAGAACAGGAATTTTGAATTATTAAGTTTAAACTGTTATTCAGGGGTGCTTGGGTGGCTCAGTCGGTTAAGTGTCCTACTTCAGCTCAGGCCATGATCACACAGTTCATGGGTTCAAACCCCGCATCAGGCTCTGTGTTAACAGCTCAGAGCCTGGAGCCTGCTTCAGATTCTGTATCTCCCTCTTTCTCTGACTCTCCCCTGCTCTCATTGTCTCTCTCTCTCTCTCTCTCAGAAATAAATAAAAATGTTAAAAAAAATTTTTAAATAAATAAACTTAAAACCAAATAAAATAAATAAAAAAATAAACTGTTATTCAAATGCAGTTTAACCACTTCCAAAAGTCATACCGAAACCATACTATCCCACCAACTTTCTGCTAAAGTTCATTTATAAAAAACAAAAATCTTACCAGAATGTTTGTGATATATTTTGGATCTAGTTGATAACGAGTTGTGATTACCTCCTTAAGCGCACTGTAAAGAATTAAAAATCTGTTTAAAAAAAAATGTACTACACAACGTTAAGAAGCACTACTTTTAAACTAAGCAGGTAGCTCAAGCTCTAGAATTCTTGTTAACCAAACTTGTTTTAAAAATGTCATGCCATTTTGCAACTATTAATAATAATTGATTCAGGGGGCGCCTGGGTGGCTCAGTCGGTTAAGTGTCCAACTTCGGCTCAGGCCATGATCTCATGGTTCGTGGGTTGGAGCCCCGCGTCAGGCTCTGTACTGACAGCTGGCTCAGAGCCTGGAGCCTGTTTCAGATTCTGTATCTCCCTCTCTCTCTGACTCTCCCCTGCTCATGCTGTCTCTCTCTCTCAAAAATAAATAAAACATTAAAAAAAATCATGAAAAGTTTTTAAAATTAATAATAATAATAATTGATTCAGGCTAGAATGGTCCACTGATGCTAAAATAGTTGAGTTCTAGTTTGATTAGAAACAGAATATTTAGGGGCGCCTGGGTGGCTCAGTTGGTTAAGCATCCAACTTTGGCTCAGGTCATGATCTCACGATTCGTGGGTTTGAGCCCCACATTGGGCTCTATGCTGACAGCTCAGAGCCTGCAGCCTACTTCCGATTCCATGTCTCCCTCTCTCTTTGCCCCTCCCCTGCTCATGCTCTGTCTCTCTCAGTCTCTCAAAAATAAACAAACATTAAAAAAATTAAAAAAAAAAAAGAAACAGGATATTTACACAGTATCCAAGTACTTGCCCATATATTATATTTATTAATTACAAAGAAGTAAACGGTAACTCTACATTACAAACTTGATAGATTCCCTTTAACCACAGTTAACATCACTAATAAAGAGACAAAAAGACATCAGGTGCTTCCTAATGTGAAGTACTAAGAAGGACATAAGATCACTTACATAATTTTTCTGTCAAGAATGTTTAACCTGCATTTAATTATGAGGAAACATCAGATAAATCCTAACCTGAGGGACATTCTATGAAATAATTTGCCTACACTCTTCAAAAATATCAGTGTAATGAAGGACCAACAAAGGCCAAAACAGGGTTCCATATCAAAAAAGACTAAAGAATCACAACTAAATGCAATGCATGATCTTAGATTGAGTTCTGAGTCAAAGGGGGAAAAAAACTGCCATAAAGATCAACCCTGGGAAACGTGGCACAATATAGTTTAACATTAAATTTCCTGGATTTGGTAACTGTAGGGTGGTTATATAAGGGAGTGCCTTTCAGAGCACCTGGCAGGCTCAGTCAGTACAGCATGCGACTCTTATCTTGGAGTTGTGAGTTTGAGTCCCTCGTTGTATGCAGAGATTACAAGAAAGAGAAAGAAAGAAAGAAACTAAGAGAGTGCCTTTTGTTCCTAGAAAAAGATACACTAAAGTAGTTAGGGGTAAAGGGGTATGACATCTAAAACTTGCTCTCAAATAGTTCCGGAAAAAAAAAACAAAACATCTACATGTGTTTAGATAGATATAAGAAGTACACACACGTACACATTTAAAAAGAAAATGGGGCAAAATGTTCATTGGTGATTGGTGAATGTGAATTAAGAGTACTGTAGGAATCTGTATTATTCCTGCAATTCTATTCCAAATAAGGTTAGGGTTGCCTGGGTGGCTCAGTCAGTTAAGCGTCCGACTTTGCCCCAGGTCATGATCCTGTGGCTCATGAGTTCGAGCCCGGCATTGGGCTCTGTGCTGACAGCTCAGAGCCTGGAACCTGCTTTAGATTCTGTGTCTCCTTCTTTCTCTGCCCCTCCCCTGACTGTGTTCGGTCTCTCTTTCTCAAAAGTAAATAAAAACATTTTTAAAAATTAAGTAAAAAAACAAAATAAGGTTAAAATATTACTTATAGTATCTATTTTTCATAAATATAAAAAACATTAAGACTTGTTTTCGTTTTTCTAACGGTGTAGAATGAAGATCTGTATACCAACAGTGCAAATACAATGTACTTAAGAGTACGTACGTCTGCAAACTTTGAATATCATAAGGTGTTTCTCTTGTTTTGTGTTTTAGTTCAATGATGATCCAGCTGTAAAGTAAAAAGACAGTATTTACTGATTGACTGATAGTAAAATTCCCAAGTTAAATTATAGTATAATTAACAGAAAAGGGTTTCTACAATAGGTATGACCTTAATTTCTTCCCTGGCCCTCACACATTGCTCATAAAGCACGCATCCAGGAAAGAACACCCTTCCAAATAGGTCAACCTCTGGCGTTGGGCCACTATACTCAAGGTCACATAAAGCCAAGGCTTAGCTGCTCATTCTGGGCCACGTTCAAAGAAGGAAGAGACAAAAAAGTACTGAGAGAAACAGAGAAAAGTGACCAGGAGGCTCCAGAACACCAGAGAGAGTGTCTGCCTTGGTCTTGATAAATTTCCAGCTCTAGTCACTTTTTAAATGAAAATTTTTTCCCTTTAGCTAGCTTGAGTATGCTTCCATTCCTTTTTATTGCATAAATGCGAGAAAACCACACCTCGTTTTTAAGACACAATAAATGGGCAAATATAAACAGCTTAAATTTTTCATATACATTTAACACTCATCCAACATTAAAATCTGAACAGTGTTAAGTAAAAATATAAGAGGAAAAATCATGTTTAGGAGGCTACCAGAAGAAAAAATTCTTCAAGTAAGAAAAATATATTGCTAGTGAGTTCATAAAAGTATCTCTGGAAAGTTACGTAATAAGCTGGTGACATCAGTTCTGTGGAGGTAAAATGGATAGCTGGGAGGCTGAGGAAAACAGCTTTTCGTTGTATACTCTTTTCTATCTTTTGAATTCTAAACCACTAAATCATATTACATATTCACAAATAAATGTCATTAAATGAATCTGAAAAGCATGAAAACAAAGAATATTTGACAGCTCAACTCACTAGGTCCTCACGCGCTCGGAGCAGGATATTTCCGTGTCCTTATCAGTTCTTCTGACCCCAGCAGTGTTTACACACCAGCACGTGCTGGTGCCATTGCACTGCTTAGCTTTAAAGAGCCCCTTCTCATCACAGTCGGGATCATAGAGCCCATCATTGTTCTGGAAAGCCCCCTCAGGTTTCGCTCTTCTCCCAGACTTTGTACCAGTCATTTCTGCTTTCATCACCAGACATTTGGTTGCCACTGAAAAGAAAGCTTCGTGTCACACCGAAAAATAACTGCAGTCTTATGCCTAAGGAAAAACATTTTAATTTAACTCAAACTCCCAGAGCCAAAGATTATTGCAGACTTACACAGTTCCACATTCACTAAGTTTTAATGCTTCAGCTATAGGAGATAATTTTGACAAAATAACACGATTCAAATTTGAACCAAAAAAAAACGCTTCCCAACTCAAGACACATCAATTAAAGAAGGCGAAGTCCAAATACAGTTTAAAGGCAATGAGGATATTCTACTCACGTTTTGAGCAAATGACAGAATTTTGTGCACCAATTGAAGTACACTCGCACTGACCGTGTGTGTTCAAAGAGCAGTTTGTGGTCAGTTTGTAGTTTTCACAGACACATCCTGGATAAATTAAGAAAACAAATCCCGCTTTAAAATGTGGATCCAACCATGAACTCTGGTGTCCCAGCTACATTATGTTCTAATACTAATGCTTAAGTTATAGGGCCACAAAGCCTTCAAAAATGATCCTGAATCCTTCATTTTTCAGCTGTAATTTGATTGCCTGAGATCATGGCAAACAGTTTGTATATATTACACAGACACATAATCTAATTTGCATGCATTCCCATTTTGATTTTTTTAAACCAAGCCCTCCAAACATCCTATTCAGTAGTAGCTCCTTGATGATACTCCCAGTCTCAGATCCTTCCTTCCTCCTTTTCTGCTAGTTAAACCCTTGCTTGTCAGCTACTGACTTATTTCCCGAAAACCAACAATTCCAATTCTAGGATCTGTAAATAACTCACATTTCCTCCCTCCTCCCAGCTAATTTTCTTAAAATCTGAATTTCAAAGCTCTAAGCTTAATGGGAATATTATATCCAGACCTTGGATAACTTTGTATCTTAGAAAAATTATGCTTTCAGTGAATCAGGGGGGAACTTTTGTTTGTGGGCTTCCTAACTAAACTGAATTCTAAGTACCCAATTCTGAAGGTGATATTAAGCAGTTTATCCTGGGTATTAATGCCAGTTTAATAGTTCTTTCACTATCTCAAAACTTCATTTTAATTTCAAATTGGCAAGCCCCTCTAATTCCTTGTTATTTGTTTAGCTAAGAGAATACAATCATTAACAACAAAAACTGCTGTGACAAACCAAAGAATTGTTATACATTGATCCTTCATCTCATGTTGGCTTTAATTATTCCCTATTTAAATTATAATTAAATGAACCACCTATATAATCTGTCCAGCAGTGAGCTCCGGTATTGGAATCACAAAATGAGAGAGTGGCTGTCCTCAAGGAGTTAAAGTCTTAGGCAGCACTCTACTATACCTGATTGAAAGCGCATTTTCATGCCCAAGGGATGTGAGATTTAGAACAGATCAGTCTTGTACAGGCTTTCTGAACATACCCTATAGCAACTATCATCACTTTAAAACAATTTAAGATTAAGTACTTAGCCTTAGACGGGAACTAGAAAAACATGAGTTACTTACACTGCATATTTTGAAAGTGTAATTAATTAGGCCCAAGCCCTGTTGGTAAAGGCTAAAGGCCTTTCCAGAAAGCTTCCGCTAACTGCGACTTTACTTCTGGCCACCATCTTACAAATACATAAAGAGATGGCAGCCAAGATGTTTACTCCAAACTAAGAAAAATGTAATCAAACCACACGTTCAATGTTCGGATAACAGCGTGACTTTCCACACCAGACTGTTCCATCACCACTTAAATCGTGGTTTCCAAGATTAAAAGAAATGGAAAAACTGGATGTTACGAGGGAGTAAACACACACACGCACGCACACACACACACACACACCACGATATAAAACTGCTTCGGTTTACGGCATGTTTAGAGCAAAAAAAGTTTACTCTAAAAAATATACTCAGTTATTAATTAGAACATTCTTTTAAGGTGGCGGGATTTTTCTTTTTACTCTTTACAATTATCGATATTTCTGGGTTCCTACAATAAACTTGGAATTATCTACACGATCCTTAAAGAAGTGAAAACACCCACTCTCACACCCCAAGTAGCCGAGGCGCAGGAAGACTTGCTCCCTGCGCAGGTGCGTAGCGGGCCTGCCGCCTCCCCGCAGCCACCTGCCCCCGCCCGAGACCCACATCCGGGGCCAGCCACAGGTGCCCGGGGGAGGGACGGGACGGGCCAGCTTCGCCGCCGTCTCCCCACCCGGCCGCGGCTGGTTCCGTCACACGAGGACCCGGAGCGCGCGCCTCGGCGGCGGTAGGTGGGCGAGCCCAGAAGTAGCGCGGCCGCTGCGCCGCCTAAGGGCCCCCTGGCCCACTCCGAGGTCAAGGAGTCCCCGAACGTGGCCATTTCGTTCACTGCCTCCCAGCCTCTGCTCCGGGCCATGTCCCTAAAGGGCGGTGCAAAGCGGCAAAGTGAGGAGGCTCCCTCCTCGCCGTACGAGCGGAGGTCTTCCCGTCGCCTTCAGCGCGCGGAGGGCCTGGGCTGCTGCAGCCCCGCGCCGTCCGCTCCAGACAGGAAAGCGCTGCCGGCCGCCCCTGCGCCACCATCTCCGACTCAGATGCCGGGGGACGTCCCCACCAGGCCCCAGCCCACAACTCTGCTGCTTACCTTTCTGCGCCGCAGCCACCGCCGCGGTGGCCGCCGCGAGCAGGAGCCCGAACGCGAGGACCTGGGGGCGCGCCATACTGTACGCGCACCGACGAGAGGCGCTAGGCGGACTGGGGTCTCGCGGGAGGGAGCGCGGAGGGAACGGGGCGCCGGGAGCCCGCGGAGCGGCCTGGAATGCGGCGATCCGCGTCGGGAGGATGGCGGAGAGCTGCTCCGGGACCGCGCCGACGGTGCGAGCTCGCCGAAGGACTACTCACTATGCGCGCGCGGCGGGGCAGAGCAGACCTGCGGGACCTGGCGGCTCCGCCTCCCGGGCTCGGCCCGGGGCTGCACACCTCAGTCCTCAAGTCCCCGGCGATGAGTCAGCGCCTGGGGGCGGAGAGTGAGAGAGCAAGTTCCCCTCCCCCACACCTGGTGCGGCCGTTGCGGTGCCACCTCCCCAGGTGAACGCGGGCGGCGCCCCGCCCCACGCCGCCAGCAGGTGCTTCCTCGCGTAGCAGCGGGTGGGGGCTGGAGGGGCGGTGGGCTGCTACCATGACCGCCGGCAGGGACCCTTGGTAGCCACGGAGAAATTCTGAGAAAACAACTGAGTCTTCCCTTTACGAGATGGAGCAAGAGCAAGACTCTGAAACCTTGAAGAAATGGGGCCTGAAGGAAAGAGTGAGGCGAAGGCGGAAACTGAAAGGGACGCAGGAGAACCGTCGGAACCACAATAAAAAAGTCGACCTTTGAACTTTACCTGGCAGTTTATTCCTTTGACGCTAGAAAAGAAAACGCTCCCTGGCTGTCAGAAGATGACAAACCCGTGTGTTCTTTATAATTATTCTCATTCTTTTCCCATTTTTATAAGCATTTTAAGCACCTGAAAATGTAAGAAAATATGATCCCAGAGCGCCAAATGCTGAGAACTGAGATGATTTCAACTTAATATTGAAGAACAATGTTGATAGTCCTTTGAAAACAGAGGGAGAAGCGAAGGACAATTTATTTCAGCAAATGAATTCAAATTACAACACGCTATTATTACAGTCTTAAAATAATTGTAATGACGAGTGTTTTTAATGTTACTTGGACTAACTGTAATATGATAGCCTATTTTTAAAAGGCGTTTTTCCGGGAAAAAAAAAGCTTTTTTTCTGTTTTAGAGATCAGAGTAAGTGCAAAAGAGGAAAGGTGAAAAAACGATTTTAAGATTCAACTAAAGTTGATTTTTATTGAGTATCAAGTAAAAAATTATGCTTTTATTTAGCAGTAATTTAAGTTGTACCCTATTTCCAGTTGATTACTGTAAATAGTCACTGTGTTACAATGACTACCTCTATAATTTGAATTTTACTAGGACATTAAATAAACTATTTAACTATTTGATTATTGACTTCATAAGGAAATCTTATCAATCTTTTGAACCTGTAAATCTGAGTTGCTAGACCTGGTTTTGGAACTTTATGATCTGTTCAGCAATTTAAGTGAAAAGAATAGTGTCAAATCAGGAATAAGTTATCAACCTGATTTTTGTTGTTTTTGCATTTTGGATATTTTCAGGAAGTTGCACACTGCCAACCCCCAAACTGTACATACTGTTCTCAAGAATCTCGTTGATTTTTGTGGCTTTATTTGCAATATGTTCCATTGGCAGTTAATCAAGAAGAACCTCATCTTCTTATAACTTGAAGGCTGTTTATTAAATCGTTCATCAAAATTAAGTGAATTGAGTAAATGATTATTAAATGACAAAACGCCCCACTAATCTGGCTCACTGTATCTGAGTACACATCCAAGATATTACTTATTTTTTATTTAAACATATTTTAAAGTTTATTTTGAGAGATAGAGAGCACAAGCAGGGAAGGGGCAGAGAGAGATGGAGGCAAAGAGAATCCCAAGCAGGCTCTGAGTTGTTAGTGTGGAGTCCCGATGTGGGGCTCAAACCCACAAACTGTGAGATCATGACCTGAGATGAAACCAAGAGTCAGATGCTTAACTGACTGAGCCACCCAGGTGCCCCATGATATTACCTGTTGGTATAGCTCTTTAATACCCTTGTAATTTCTCACTCACTGCTCAAAATTACTCTCATTTTATGCTTTGGTTGTTAGTCTTTTGTGATTCCTGTGCCATATGGAAGAAATGTCAATATTTTTGCAAGATTTCAGACCCAGGTATACTCCTAAAACTATTCTCAAATTTTACAGATGTTGCTTTTAAATTTTGACAGAAGCCAGTTTGATGTATGCCGGAGACCAAAACTGCAAGGGTCATCTCTGATGGCAAGGCCCAGGGAAAAACCTGTGTGAAAAGACTGCGAGGCAGTCAGAAGAACCCCCTGAAGAATTCTTCTTCTCTGCTTAGTCTGTGCCTTTTACTGTCACTTCTGCTGTTAGTCTATTCTTGGGTTAATATGAAACCAGAATCGCCCAAAGTTCCCTCTCTTCCTCCAAAATGGAATGTACCTAAATATCATGTCTGCCCCCCTCAATCAGATGTTGTCTAATGAATATTGTAGCAATTAGCAAAATTGGGGACAGTCTGGTATGCATGGGGTCTATGAGAGACCTGGAACTCATGTTCCTTGTAGGGGTCTAATTGCCAATAATACTACATATTATGCTTTAAGCAGAGACAAAACAAAACTTATTAGTTTTAGAGGACTTTCTTGGAAAAGTGTTAGAGAAATATTTGCCTGTTGTCCCTGGTTTCAAGCCTGTGAGGCAACTTACAGATTGTTCTGACCAAAGAATGAGACCTGTAAATGCAGAGACCAAACTCCAGTTGATCCACGTGAAACAATTCCACATGTCCTTTATGATAAATGTTGATATTGTTCTTTCTTAGTAAGGGGTTGTGAAAGTCTATCATCTATAACTGCGGGTACAAGTAAATCCTATTCTTGCTTGCCCACTAAACTTAAACAATTAAAGGGCACTGTGTTCTCATGTATTCTGGCAATATGCTTCACTTATCCTTAGATACCCTGCCGTACGAAGTAAAGAATATGTAGAACTTTGTTATGACTCCCTGGTTAAATTGTATTGGTTTAAGTGGAAATCATGTACCGTGGAATCACTGTTGCCAAGAAAACTTAGATGTTAAGTCCCATGACTGCTTTCTAAAAATGTAGATCGTTTAAGCATGATTGATTAGATTTGCTATAAATACCCTAAGCTGAAAAATAAATTTGAGCAGTGCACTTGAAGAGGCTAGCTCCATGTCTTCTTCACTGACTCCAACCCTCACTCTCTGGGTCAACCCTGGCTTGCAGAGGCTGGACCCCTGCAGATGTATATATTTGACTAAGAAAGAAATAGGACAAGATTAAAAATTAAACTTAAAAAATGTGTATTTTTAAAGAGAGTGAACTGGGAGGGGCAGAGAGAGGAAGACAGAGAATCCCAAGCAGGATCTGCGTTGTCAGTGCAGAGCCTGATGTGGGGCTTGATCCTATGAGCTTGGGATCATGACCTGAGCCAAAATCAAGAGTCAGATGCTTAACTGACTGAGCCATCCAGGCACCCCAAAATTGAACTTTTCTGACCAAACTCCTGCACTCCATCAAATAAGAATCAAATTTGAAAGCCAACATCAGGGGCTCCTGGGTGGCTCAGTTGATAGAGCCCCTGACTCTTGATTTTGGCTCAGGTCATGATCCCAGGCTCATTGGATCAAGTTCCAAGTCAGGCTCCAGGCTGTATATTCAGCATGGATTAAGATTCTTCCCCCCGCCCCCCCCCATCCCTCTTTCTCACTCTCATGCTCTCTCCTTCTGAAAAAACAATGTAAAGCCAAAAAATGGACGGAAAAGGAGAGAAAGTAGTTAATAAAAATTTAATGGGTGGGGGACCCGAGTGGCTCAGTCATTTGAGAATTAGATTCTTGATATTGGTTCAGGTCATGATCTCACCGTTGGTGGGATCAAGTCCTACCTCAGGCCCTGTGCTGACAGCGCAGAGCCTGCTTGGGATTGTCTCTCTCTCTTTGCCTCTCTCCTGCTTGCAGGCACACACACTCTCTCTCAAAATAAATATTTTAAAAAATTTAATGGGGGACGCCTGGGTCACTCAGTCAGTTAAGCATTGACTTTGGCTCAGGTTGTGATCTTGTAGTTCATGAGTTCAAGTCCCACATTGGGCTATGTGCTGACAGCTCAGAGCCTGGACCCTGCTTCAGATTCTGTGTCTCCCTCTATCTCTGCCCCTCTCCTACTCACACTGTACCTCTCAAAAATAAATATTAAAGGGGCACCTGGGTGGCTCAGTCAGTTGGGCATCTCACTTCGGCTCAGGTCATGATCTCACGGTTCGTGGGTTCGAGCCTCGCATCGGGCTCTGTGCTGATAGCTAGCTCAGAGCCTGGAGCCTGTTTCAGATTCTGTGTCTCCCTTTCTCTCTGACCCTCCACGGCTCATGCTGTTTCTCTCTCTCACAGAAATATATAAAACATTAAAAAATAAATAATCAATTTAAAAATAAATATTAATAAATGAATAATAAAAAGAAAAAAATTAGTGAGTAATACAAAATATTAATTGATTGAATAGGGGTTTTTGTTATTACTTTTCTATGACGTTTTCTTTTAAAGCAAAAAATATTAAATATAATTAACATTGAAGAAAAGAATCATGGTACTTAAAAGAATTAGAAGTATTCTTTAAGAACATTGCCTAGTTAATATCCTATAGTAGTTTCTTCACATAAGTTTTAGAGCGTGTGTGTGTGTGCACATACTCATGCACACACACATGTAATATGTGAATTTAATGAAACCTTAAATGGGATAAATGTTATTCTTGCAGATGGCTAAAAGGAAGTGTAGTGTGTAAACATTTACTATAATGGGCTACTAGTTCTTAAAATTTTTGCTATTTCATGAGTAATATATTGGTAGAAAACAAAAGTACATTGTATAGAATGAAGAATGAGGGGCGCCTTTTTGGCTCAGTGGGTAGAGCATGAAACTCTTGATCTGGGGGTTGTAAATTTGAGCTCCACGTTGGATGTGGAGATTACTTAAAAATAAAATCTTTTAGAATATCTAGATGGCCAACAGACACATGAAATGATCCTCAGTGTTCCTCATCATCAGGGAAATACAAATCAAAACCACACTGAGATACTACCTCACTCCAGTCAGAGTGGTTAAAATGAACAAATCAGGAGACTCTAGATGCTGGTGAGGATGTGGAGAAACAGACACCCTCCTACACTGTTGGTGGGAATGTAAACTGGTGCACCCCCTCTGGAAAACAGTGTGGAGGTTCCTCAAAAAATTAACAATAGAACTCCCATATGACCCAGCAATAGCAATGCTAGGAATTAACCCAAGGGATACAGGAGT